GCAATATTAACATCAAATATTTATGCTGGTATGAATTTTGGTATATTGATACAAATTTAAAGTTAATTTTGTTATACTAAAAGTATGTTTCTACTCTTGTTTGTGTCATTGTACTTATGAATACAATATATAATTAAGAAATTCAGGTTAATAGTAATCTATAATTATCAAACTTGTAGCCTTATTAGGTATGTTTTCAAGTTAAAATATGTTTTAAATGGATAGTCATCAAACACTTCAAGGAACTACAGAATATGGCATGTTAATGTTTTCATAATGTAGGGTTTTCATTCCACATTAGGGAATGTTTTCTCAGCCTGGATACATGGGGGAGGGCCTAGCCCCTGCTGCAGATGAAATTACAAACTCAGGAGATCCCCCATGGAGAGCCTCACCCTCCCTGGGGAGCAGATTGGGAATTTGGTGGGGGCCTTGGTGGTTACTGGGGGTTGGGGAGCTGGGATTGACATGTAGGCAAGCTTGTTTATAATTTAATTTTTTTAAAAAGATATAAAAGAAAAAATAATGTAGGGCTTTTCATGACAGTGAGACATATCTGCTCCTGGCAGCACCAACCTACTACATAAAAGGATGTTGGGCATCAAAGACAATCAATATGGAGTCTTCTTTATTTGGGGCAATTGCTAGCTATTTGGGCAAGAAACTACCCTTGCCTAGAATGCTGACAGTATGCTGTCCAAACTGGACAAGCAGGGAGCTAAAGAAAGCAGCTACTGAACTTTGACAAAACAGAGTAGGACAGTCCTTCAAAAATCCCCACTTTACAGAAAAGATATTCTAGGACAATAGACCAAAGATGGATACCCCAATGTTCAGAGGAACCCTGGGGTGACTGGCCAGGCAGCCAGATGTTTCTGTCATTTTATATTTTTGAATGTTGCTTGCTTTGCACTTCATGTTTACTCAGATAATATTATATCATCCTTCTTGCGTCTCTAATGGAGTTGAAGACTAGATAGTTATAGTTTCCCTTAGTCATGATAGAAAGTAAATTAGTACAAAACTTTGGGCCCTTCAAGAGAGGATAGAACATGGAATATTTTCTCTAAATTTGCCAAATACAAATGAACTGGACATTGTAAATGTAATTCTTATTTGATAATTATTCTTATTGTATATAATTCCATTTGTTAAAGTTAATAATTTTCCTTTCTATTTAGAAAATATCTGATAATTGTTCTTATTGTATATAGCTTTATATATTACAGTTAAAACCTTTTTTCTTTAGACAAAAGGATGTTGTGGAATAATTTTTTTGTACACTATGAAGATGTGTCACTCAGACTGGTTTAATAAAAAGCTTATCAGTCAATAGCTAAGCTGGATTTTTAGTGTAGAGATAACACTGGGAAGAAGTCAGAGTCATCAGCCAGATGCAGAGGAAACAGAACATTCAGGAGGAGAGATAAGAGACCGTGAGCCACATGGCAGCACATAAATTAATAGAAATGGGTTCATTTAAGTTATAAGAGCTAGTTAGAAAGAAGCTTAGGCTATCAGCTGAGCTTTCACAGGTAGTAAGATGTCTCCATGTAGTTATTTGGGAGCAGGCAGGTAGGACAGATAAAGACTTCCTGCATGTAAAATGCTCAGGCTAACTTTGTCTTCTTGTCCAGCAGTTAGTGACAGGAGGAATTGGTATTCAGTAGACCCTGCATACCTATACTAAGTCTTAATAAAATGTTACTGGATACCTATGAGTATCTGAACTTGATTCTTAAGTATCTCTGTTCCTGAGATGGTATGAAACTAAATAGTCAATTTCAAGCAGCATGGCAAGTTGAAAAAAAGACTTTAGAAAATATTTAGTAGAAATATTTCTTGTTTTTTTCTTAAAGGGGCTTCATCTTCATAGATACCTCTTGTGCTGGAACTGAAAATTATGTTGCCAGTCCTATGTATGAGGCATATCCATTACTACAACACTTTGATATCCCCTGAGGACCATCACTTCCTGTGGAGAAATGATAAAAGCTTATAAGGTCATAGCTACCTGTAACTTCTATGAAGTCCTTTAAGGTGTATCTTTGGGGATGGGCATTTTCATGTGCCAAGGAAACAGATGATAAGTTAGTGTTTGCAATACAATCCTAGAAGGCTCATTTCATCATATCCTCCCAGCTGTAGTATGCATCACATAAAAGCATAGTAGTACATAGTGTTTGTGGGGTTATGAATCAATAAGCCTGAATTCTAATTCTGATTCTGCCACTGACTACATGAGTGTTCTCTAAAATATAGTTTTTCCCTTGAGGATACTCTGAAAAGAACATCTTTACTAATCTGGTATTTTGTGCCATTGAATTTCTGGAGATGTGGCTCAGAGAAAGATAGTGAGAGCCAGGTAATGGGTACATCATATTGCCTTCAGGCAAGCAGATTACAATGTTATGCTTTTAATCTTAAAGATGTTTTAGTGCATAAAATATTAAAATATAGCATTCTCTAACCCTTCTATGGGCCCTGTTACATCTGGCTTCAAATTTGGAAAAATATGGTGTTGTATTACAGGATGAAATCTACATGTATACTGTATCAGAGACTAGAGAAGAACAGAAACCCAGAGAGGAAATCAGATTGATATGGTGATGGAGACAGACATATTAAGGTTTATTGAAGGAAAATAAGTTCAGATTCCCTACTATAAGGCAATAATAAGCATTCACAAAACCCAACGATTTTTCTGGATTCTATTGTTCTAGGAGGTAAGACTTTTAACATTTCCTCCATTGTATAACAGAATACATAGTGGAGAACATCGACTGGTTAAGGAAGGAAGTTAGTTGTGAGTGAATTCCAACTCTGTTTATTTCTTTTAACCTATATTAAGGAACCAGGATCTATGCTAGGCCAATGATTAACAATAAGAAAATTAACCAAAGATGTTTCAATTATTCCAAAGACATTCAGGCAAAATACACAAAACAAAAATTAAGTAAATCACTGAATATTTCACTAGATATCAAAGCATCATAAGCCTATAAGAGACATGTGAAGTGCAATTAGAAAACAAATAATGTGTTTACTTCTCTCTAAAACATCAGGAAAAGTTGCATAGAAAACAATATGGAATTTAATTTTGGACTTTAATACTTACACAAGTAATGGAGACATTTTGTGCTATATTCAGGAGTGTGGAATTTGTCTTATGGAAAGGGAAGACATGGAAACATTTTAAGCAGTATGGATAAGAGGTCTGTTATTATCTGACTAGTTTAATTTCTAACTAGTTTTATACATTATTCATCAGTCAGATTAACCATTTAAATCTATGCCTGTCAGGTGAAAAGTAGATTTGATAGGGCCCACAGTTGTTTCAGGAAGAAAGGATCCAAAACTAGTGATCTAATCCAGGTGAAAAGACAGAGCACCTTCATCTGGAATAGTGATGGTGGAGAAAAAATGAACTCAAGAGACAATGAGAGAGAACTGATAGGGATGCATTATTTGTTTGAATATAGGGAGTCAAGGATAGAAAAGGAAGTATCAATGATAAAGTCTTAGCTCTGGGGATTTAAAAGCTGTGTGGTATCACTTCCATAGATGGGAGACGGTAAAAGAAGAGGAATAGTCTTAAAAATGTTCAGTTTTGAACTGTTATGTGTGCCTGAGGGACTACCAAGAGCTTTCGAATCCGGAATTCTCAGATTACTTCCTTGTCATAACAACCAAGTAAACTATGTCAATTCCACACCAACAAAGACTAAGGAGGTCATGGACAATTGACTTCTAAGATTACATGAGTCTTAAAAGTAGAGTCTAAGGACAAAATATGCTTGTAATTCAAAGATTATGCCTTACCATAGATGTAAGCATTGCCTTAATTTGATGTTTTATGGTGATGATAGGGACTTGGTGAGTTTATTTTGCCTTTATTTCTGAGATGTGGTCTCATCATATAGTCCAGGCAAGCATTGTACTGACTATGCTGCTGTCCCTGACTCCCAACTGCTTTGATTTCAGGTATGTGCCATGATCCTCGGCTCCAGATAAACACTATTTTCTATTTTTCCTTGCAGCTTGACCCAATGGGATTATTCTCCATAGATAATTGTTGTAGTCATTAGGACAATTTCCCTGATTATAATATCATTCAGAAAATAACATTGATGATTTACATTCTTTAGATGGTTTTATGAATAGGGTTTTTTCTGATGCAAGGGGGTGATGAAACATAGGGCATCATGCAATCCAAGCAGTTGCTTATCTCAGTGTATTTAGAAAACATAACAATGACCATGTATTTGGTGTACAATTGTACTTTCTGATGAGTAGCCATGGAATATTCAGTTGACTGAGGATATATTTACATTTGTGTTTCTTGTTGAAAGGTTATTTAATAGTAAGAAGGAATTTGGTCTAGTTACAATCAAAATTTTCATGTAGCAATCTCATGTACAATTCAGAACTGGATGTCTCAATGAACAATCTATTGTCCTCTATAAAGGATCTTGAAATTCTAATTAGTGAGTTCCCTCTATTTTATATTTTTAAGATTTACTACTACAAATCTCAATAATGATAAATAGAGAGGAGATTTTTAAATCTATATCACAGTATAGATTGAGTCAAATTCAACTTTTAGTGCACCAAGTAAATCTTCAATGTAAGCAAATGAATGAAAGAACAATTTTATTTGCCACTTCTCTTCTGCAACACATGATAAAATTAAATATTTTATAACCTCCCTATTATCTGGAAATTATTTTAACTTCTAACTAATGTTATACAAGTTTACCAATCAGACTAAAATATTTATATTCATAAAATTAGATATCTCTTTCTTAAATATTTCTCATCAAACAATGGTCTCAGAAAATGTAGATTGCCTTATACTATAATTTATCCCTATTACATTTCTACTTATCTAAACAACCATTTCTAAACACTTAGCCAGAGAAATTAAGTCGTTCTTAACAAGACTTCATATGTAATCAAGGAAAACAATGAACAAAATGTGAGTACATCAGTAAAATCTATTATCTCTTGAGACACAAACTAGATAAGAGACTGTGCCTCATTATTTGTTTTAGGGCAGCTTTCACTTCCTGATTTCTCAAACTGTATATGAGAGGATTTAACATAGGGATGACCATGGTATAAAACACTGAGACCATCTGATTTCCTGCTTGTGACCCATGCTGGGAGGGTTGTAAGTATGTGTACATAGTGGTTCCGTAATACAGAGCAACTGCAGTCAAGTGGGAGGCACAGGTGGAGAAGGCTTTCTGCTTGCCAGAAACTGAAGGGATATCCATGACAGTCTTGAATATAGACATGTAAGAGACAAGAATTACCACAACTGAGGTGATAAGGGTGAATCCCCCACAGCCAACAACCAAGATCTGGGTTACCCAGGGATCAGAACAAGCCAATGCCAGCAGTGGGGGGATATCACAGAAAAAGTGTGAGATAATGTGTGGCTGGCAGAATGATAGTTGTGTGAAAGAGCTTGTTACAGCAACCATGTTAAGTAACCCACCAAAGTAACATCCTGCTACCAAAAGGAGACAACGACCTCTCGACATGGTAATATGGTAAAGCAATGGCCGACAAATGGCAGTATAACGGTCATAGGCCATGGAAGCCCAAACATTACATTCAGCAGAAGCGAAGATTATGAACAAGCCCATCTGAGACATACATGCAAAGAAAGAAACTTCTTGTAGCTGAGATAATAAGTTAGTTAGAGTCTTTGGTGTTGTGATGGAAGAGAAACAGACATCGAGGAAGGACAAATTTGAGAGAAAAAAGTACATAGGTGTGTGGAGACGGTGGCTGACGTGAATCAGTACCACCAGGCCTAGGTTCCCCAGCACAGTGATGAAATAAATAACAAAAAAGATTCCAAACAGTGGGAGTGTAAGCTGATGGTTAGCTGTCATTCCAAGAAGGATGAATTTAGTCTCTGCAGATGAATTCCCCATTAACAGGACTGAGAGTCACTCCTGTCTTGTTGAAAACCTCTTTCGACATGCTGTGAGAAAATAAGAGAAAACTAGCTGATATGGGTAAAAGAGTCTTAGTCCAAACACACAGATCAGGGATACTATTCAGCACTTCCCCTTACCTATAGTCAAATATCAAAGCCCTTTCCATACGGTAGTACCATTTCCAGATAAAATGTGTGCAATGGAAAGACTGAAGAGAAACAGAAAAGCAAGAGAAAGGTTATTGAAACTCAGGAGAGAACAAAGCAGGAGGCTAATGGGACCTGATACTATTTGTCAAAGGAGAAAGTAGGGTTTATGCTCACAGAACAACATGTTCTTGCAAAAAAAAAGGTGCAATCAAATCATTCTCCCTCCCATGCCGATGGAATAGAAGTAAGACTACAAAATGTAAAATAGGTGAAGTAATTTAAAGGTAGTCCACTTCTCCCCATATCTTGATAATCTGGAACATTATTTGACACAAGAGGAGTCAAAATCCCTCACTATTTGTGTCATCAGCAAAGCATTTTCCAAAGCCATGAATATCTTCTCACTGAAATGCTATTAAAGGCATTCAAATACCCCCAAATGACCACAAGATGCTGAGCTCAAATGTGAAGGGACCATCCCGTGAAAGGGCAATGAAAGTAGGGCAAATCCCTTGGGGTTCAGGCAAGTTCCAGATGCTCAATCATTGCTCTATGCTTCCTCTGACCTTTCCTAAACCAAAGGGAATACAGGTACAAAATTAACTGGAACTCCCAATTGCACATAGTGAACAGATGTGTCTAGGCAAAGACTGGAATATCATTGGTGTCAGATGGCATCAGGAGTACCTGTGTTCTGGCCCTCATTCTTGTGGTCACAAGCTATTTTTGATGCCAGCTTGATAACTTACCCAAATACCAGGCCTTTGCCCTATGTAAAGATCAGACAACACAATGTGTCCTTCTATGCAACTCCATCTCTATGTATAGAATCTAAGCCAACTCATTCCTTCTCAATCATCGGACAACCATGTTGCAATGGAGTCTAGAGTGGGTTCCTCAATTTGCCTAGGGGCAGAACTAGAGGACTGAATAAGAGTGATCCCAGCCTTGCCTAAAAGGAAAGTTCCAGGATTAGGACATACAGATTAATAGTAAAGCTTTGGTGGACCTTTATTTGAACCTCAGAAATTAAAATGAAAAAGATTTCTGTAGTCATAATCTATCAGAAGGCATAGGATCATCACTTGGGATACTAGTTAACATTCCTGATCCTGCAGCCATATGGACCTATCCAAGTCTTCTCAGAAGAAGGGAAGCCCTGTGACCAAGGTATCAGTTCACTCTGTAAAAGAAGGGCAAACTTAGCATCTGTGCTGTGGAAAAATTGTGAAAATTCAATGATATTAGTTTTTAAAACTACTTGGTGCATAGTAAACACTAAATTATGTCCTCCATTCTTTCATAACCACTCATATCTGCGTTATGTGTTTTCTGCCTTGCTTGTTCATATTTCATTAAATGCAAATAGAGGCATTATGTGTGCCGTTAATCTCATTGCAGATAGTCAGCAGAGAGCCTTTGGTGACGAGTAAAAATATAACTCTTCAGGCTCCACAAGCTCTCCCTTACCGTGCCATCCTCCCAACATACAGGCACTCAGCTTTTGTCAGAACAGATGAAAAGGGGCCTGTCAGTCGTATTTGTACTAACACTTCACTGGTTCTGTTTGTTTGTGATTTACCCTTGCTCCACTGAAACTGTTTGGATTGCCTTCTGCTGCTGCAGTGGCACATGGAACATTCCTCGATGTCGTCCTTCAAATAGGGAGACAGGAGAAGACAGGTGGGTAAATGGAAAGAAAGCTACTTTCAGAAAAGAAAAAAAGACAGAAGTTAAAATCCTGGAACTAATTCTCATTGTCAGTGAATGGGGTAAAACAACAAACAAACCTACAAACACTTTGAGTCCCATGTTTTGTCATCTCTGAAAGCGGAAAAATAACAGGCGCTGTTGCTCTTTTAGGGTTGGCATGAAGATCAAGGAAGATAATGAATGTGGAAGCACTCTGTAAACTCTTGAAGCGTGATACAATACACATGGAACAGATCCCTACTATTATTCTATCTCAGAAGGTGGGAGAGGGAGGAAGAACACGTCAATACGCTCATTTCAGCTGCCTGTTCCAGCTCCTGCTTACAGAGTCGTACTCCCACTCACCCCCACACACATCATCTGCTATGTCACTCTACTGTGAGTGTTCCAACCCATGAAGGTTTAAACCCACAGCTCGAGGCTGTTCACATACCTGGGATCTTAAGAAAGTCAGGTTCCTTTCAGTGTTGCTCTCACATTCTTGTGTCGGTTGTTAAAAATTCCCATTTTAGGGTAACTCTTTTCCTTGGCATCTGCATGCATCGTAAGTGTTCAATAAGTGCACTTGAATGAGTTAAGTGACTGCCAGTCTTAAAATCCTTTTTTGTATTTAAAATAAGATTGAATTGCTTTTTCTTCCCAAAGGAAATAAACATAAAAAGAAAGACTTTTATAAAAGAAAGATTTGATACTCCTATCCACACATGCGATTGCATTAACTACTGTCATGATGACAACTGAGCGGGTTTATTATTATCTTTGATGATATGTCTTCGCTATTTACTTGTTGGAAATACTCTGGCACTCCTATTTGTTGAAGAAGTGACCTTTTACGGGTATTTTAATGCATTCCTGTGCTTCTTCATACAGGCATTTACATTTACAGTACCTATTCTTCAAAAAGTTCATTACCTTTTTCCTGTTCGTCAGTTAGGCAGTTCACTGTGACTCTTCTAAATATAACTAAGCATTTGGAATTTAAAGAAGTCTTCACTAAAATGCTTTGAGTGTTTACTAAGTGCAAGGCTTCTAAAAGTCATCTGTTCCAACCCACTAATTTTTAGTTAAAGGAAAAAAACAAGCACGCAGAAAGGGAAAATGACATGGTTAAGGACTCAGTAAACGAGTGGAAGTGTTGTTGTTAAAACCCAGATATTCTGGCCGGATACAGTCCTCTTTATATAATACTATTATGTTTTATTCTTAACTTGTTTTCTGAAGTTATTTTAGAGGGAATGTTCTCCGTTGGTGCAGTAATTCCTCTAATAATGGGTGAAAGTTAATTCTCTGTCACTGTGTTGCAGCTATATGATCAGAAGGAAATCGCTTGCTTGTTGTGGGTCCTAGTTCTTTCATCAGTAAAAGAGAACTAAAACTAGGTGGGCTCTGAAACTCTTTGCAGCTTTTCTCTCTTATTTCCCGTGGCTCTGAGTCATACTGTTCAAAGGTCACCAACCATTCTCAACATCTAATGAAGGGAAGTAGTGGGAGCACATTTCTATGGTGATGTGCATCTGTGCTCTACAAACCTTTCTGCCCTTCACTGTCCTTTTGTCCCTCAGTACCAAGTATGTTCTATTGGTTTGTTCTTCTTGTAAATCACTGAAGACAACTGAGGCAACAGCCTAGGAGGGGTGTTTTCCAAATTTCCTCCCAACATTAAAATACAAAACATTTGCCCAAAGATCTAGCAACATCCTAACTATATGACTGAGGAAATTGATCAACCTCTCTAAAACCCATTTACTTATCTGAAGTTGGAAATAAGACTGCTTAACTTTAGTGACTATCTTGATGCATAACTTGTTAAATTTCAGAGAAGTATTCCAGGATGCACAGCCACAACTGATAGATCTGCAGTGTTACCCCTATAACTAAAGATTGTTAGAGCCAGAATGCCAGGACACCTGCAATTAGGCAGGGAAGCTGAACCCATGAAATCTTCATAATGAAGTTTCCTGAAAAGACATGATATGCCAATGTGGATAGGGGAAATTCCAAAAGGTCCTATGCTTTTGCAGAGATGTGCAAATAAGCAGTTTTTTCAGGGACAAGCTCACACAGAGGTTGCTGATCAATCCTGGACACATGTACATACAGGCTATACTAAATAACTCGTGTGTGTGTGTGTGTGTGTGTGTGTGTGTGTGTGTGTGTGTGTGTGTGAGTCTGTGGTCATGAATTTTGTAGGGAATTGGGGAGACATGAGAGGAGTTGGAGGAGAGAAGGAAGGGCTGGACTGATGTAGATACAATGCTCATGGATGAAGATCTAAAAATCTAAAGTATAGTAAACTACTTACCAGATATTTAGATTCTCAATATATGTGCATTTACATATCCTTAAAGTCCATTTGGAGTGTGTGTTTCATAAAGTGTTCTTACTAGAGTCTCTAAGGTGCTAAAATGAAGAGCATGGGATTTTGTTTTTGGATAATGAAAATGTTCTACAAAGAACCACAGTGATAGTTGTATAACTGTGAATACATTAAAAACTGTTGCCGGGCAGTGGTGGCGCATGCCTTTAATCCCAGCACTCGGGAGGCAGAGGCAGGTGGATCTCTGTGTGTTCGAGGCCAGGCTGCACCAACAGCCTCCAAAACAATACAGAGAAACCTTGTCTCGTAAAACAAAACAAACAAAAAACAAAAACAAAAAAACTGTTACATATGTTTAGATGTATGAATTTTATGGTATATGAATTATATCTCAACACAAATTTTTACCAAAAAGTTATGATAAATGCTGAAGAGAAGAAATACAATTTAGACACTTCTTGAATCTACACTCTTCTAGTGACCTATGACAGAAAACCCTATGCATGATATGCTATCATCAATTTAGTAGTACTTTGAAAAATGTAATAATAATAAAATAAATAGATTCAAATGAATGATAAAATTATAATGGTAGACATAAAGACTTAAATAAATAGAAAAGTACAATATACCTGGATAGCAATATTATTAAAAGTGAAATACAAATTTCATATGATATAAATTTACAAGTTCAGAATACTTATGCAAACTATAAATTGATGTTGTTCACCTACAAGAATAAAACAAAAATATCATGAAATTGTCTTAAGTGATGGAGGTTAAAAGCATCTCTGATTTTAAACTTTATTGCAAAA